TATGTAATATGAAACCAGAAGAGCAGTTCGAATTATTCAACATAGCTGAAAATGTAGAAAAATTACGAAACAATCCATTAAACCCAACATTTTTTTGCATTTTTATATTTATACAAATGCAGTATCAGTCGCCGTTTGTTCTGAAATCCATCGAATGCAGTGCAGAATTTTTGGTTTTCGGAAATTTCAAATTTTTTTAGAAAACTTGTGTCTTGCTTCAATTGTTTTAAAATTCTGTATTTTTTTAAAAAAATTCTGAGAAATTAATAGTGTCAGGAAAAAAAAACGAATCGGACCGAGGTTTCTAGGCGTACTCGATCAAAATGCGAAATTTCAGATTGCAGTTTATGCATATTACGTGGTAAAAATGAAAAGTGGAATTGAGTTGTATGAGCCTGTGCCACAAAAATCTCCTCTCATATTCAGTCCTCGGAAAACTTATGAAATATGGCGATATTTCACTTATATGTTCATTCATATTGGGTAAGTTTTTCCTTCTAACTTATACGAATGCTATAAGCGCAACAAAAAACAAGAAACAGTCAGAGGCAAAAACGTATCCTTTGCCTAAAAGTGAAAATAAAATTCTCATTTCCAGAATAAGTGATTATATAATTCCTAAGTGACGTAAAGAAACTATCGACGATTTTGCCAGCGAGTGGTTGCTTTTGGCACGTGTTACTACCCGGGCTTCTTCGAAATACTTCTCTGCGTAGGGAGGAATGCGAAAGAAACCCTTTTTTACAAGACAGTCATGCAGTTAACTGTCTCAAACCATTATCTCCGAAAAGCAGTTCAGTATATTTTAAAATTTCCCTAGATAAGAAAGGGAATCCGATTTCCTAATTGTAGAAATCTTGACAGAAAACTGAGAATGTGAAAGAGGCTTAAAAGATTTAGCGAGTGACCACCACTAGTTGGAAAAACTAACGTGACCATCGACATTAATAACTTTGATACTGACGGAAATTAATAATTTTTTGTTAAAATTAGGTTGGTGAAAATAAAGAAAAAAATTTGAAAAAGACAATTTTTCTTTAAAAATTTTTGGCAGACATCCTAGTCCGAGAAAATTCTAAATACGCTATCACTCTGAAAGTTAAATTTGGATTTTTCCAGAAAAATCATGTTTCGGATTTTTCCAGAAAAATCATATCTCGGATTTTCTTAATTTTCTCGAATCTAACAGTATGGTGATTTTCAGAATAATACATTTAGCATTTAATGTATTAACACAGATCATCCTTGGAATTCCGTTGGAACTGGTTCACAAATTCTGGCGTATTGCTTTGGTATATTTGTCTGGAGTTTTAGCTGGTAAGTTTTCCGATCATCAAAAAACGCGAAAATCGTTATTAAATTTTAAAATCCATTATAATATAAAAACTCAGTGTCGTTCTCATCAAAACATAGAACTTAGAATTAGTGACCCCAAAAATCTCCCGTATTTAAGGCCGGGCCTCCAATTTTTGTCCGATTTGCTTAAAATTGGCGCTTTAGATTCAATTTTTGATATCCCTTTGTTAGCGCGTGAAATATTTCGGCGTTCGTGGACAAAAGTCGCTCAACGCATATGCATTCTCTCAAAATTACGCGAAATTTGTATCACACATATAGGTGTTTTCGTAATCCCCAAAATTGATAGTAATATATGTAAAATAAGTACTTTATGCGCAACGGATCACTGCATATTTATGTATATATGTACATATGTAGTAACTTAGACTATACATATGATTAAAATGTGGCTAGTTTCTGGCACCGTGTACAGATGTGTCGATGAATCGAAGGAACCAATGTGGATTTTGGGCTGAATGTATGTTACACAGATAATTTGTTAAATAACACAGTGTGAAGACGTTAGGACACGAGTTATCACAGAAAACACCAGTACTGGTAATAAGACCGACTATGGTGAAGGCACTCAGACGGTAGATGTTGACATGGAAAATTCGACAATATACACAGGCCATGACTCATCGGATCGCCAGTTTTATATACCGAGGATCCTACATAAATTATTAAACCATGCAATCGCTCAGAAGACAAATATACGTCTTCCGATTGACAAACATAAACACATATGTATATCTGTGTAATGTCCATCCAAAGTTATTACCAAATCCTTCCCGAAATTCCCCACAGACGTTCTTTTTTCGTGCAAAAACCCTGCTCTTTTTTTAGGCTCACTGCTGAACTATGCGATCGATCAGAAGACATATCTTGCCGGAGCATCCGGCGGTGTTTATGCCTTGCTTGCTGCTCATATTGCGGAATTACTCATTAACTGGTCT